ATAACCCCCGCCTGCAGGCGGGCTGTTATGGGGCTGACACTCTTCCTCTTGGACGTCATCCTCACTCTCCAGCCTCCTCCCAGCAAACGGTTGACCCTGAACCTTAAGCCCGTCTTGTGCTTCAGACCCCAGCTCTGCTCACAACCTCCTGCAAAACCTGGACAAAGCTTCAGATAAAACCAGCTCCGAGCAAGGCTTGCCACCCTTCAGGAAGGATCGCACCGAGCAGATGCAACTCAGCCGCCCTACAGGGAGCAGAAACCCGTTGCCGAGCACTGAAAAGCCCCGGGAGCGCAAAGCAGATGGGTGCACCCTCATCTTCTCACGGGGCAGAGCAAATGCTTCTCTTGTTTGTGTCCAGACACATCACCGGGTCACACAGCTGGGGATAAACGTTTAATACTGTAAGTTCGCAAATAAAAATGCTAAGAACACTCATCATCCTGATATATAACATCCCATTAAAATGTTTGGAAGCGTTTTCATTTTAAGCCTCTCACACCTATTTGAGGGTTGGATTTTTTCCCTGAAGGAGAACAATTCACCCATTATCGGCCACACACACAAAATTACACTTCTGGACTAATATCAACTAACTTTACAATATAGTAACAGCTCTGTTCCCACCCACTAAGCCAGACAGAAAGGAGCACTGCTGGCATTTTGCTGTTACCAAAACAGCTACATTTTATGCCAGTGTTTCACAGCCATTGATTTCTGAGATTTCTCATTTCTAGCAAGCTCACAGCAGCAGCAGGGCGAGAGCAAGGAACGATTCACATGGACTGAATCCACCACCTCCCAACTCCACCAAAACAACGTCATTCCATGCTTCCTCCTCCCGCCCTCAGGTTCTACAGCCATCTCCAAATGATGCTGAAACCCACGGAGAAGTAATTTACGCGTGACCGGTACCTGAACGCTGCTGCATCGGATCGGCACAGCCCTGCCGAGCTGGAGAAAGCCAAAGGTGGACACTGCCATTCAGGAACGCCGTGGACAGATTCTGCATTAATTCACGCACACACACAAAACTGGGAAACCCCTCAAGCTCCAGCAAATAAGGCTTTTTAGGGTCAGTTACCCACCGGTTCTGCAATAGCTGTGGCTACCGCCTTCGCGGCCAGCACTTCCCACGGTGCTGCCTTCACTCATCCCAAAGCACTGTCCTGTTAACACCAAGGCAAGTCTCACCCGGCCACCCAGGCTGGCTACGTGCTACTTTATGCATGTAATTATTATTAGACATGTTAAAAACCCAAGGTCATCCGTACAGCTAACTTAGAAGGCCTGGGTACCAGCCTAGCAAGCGATCCGCAGCGGATGCGGCTGCAGCTCAGGCACGCCTGCACCCGTCCATCTGCAGAACCGGTGCCTAACCCCGTCCCCTTTCCCTCCTCTGCAGTACAAATCGCTTCCCCCCCAAAAAAAGCGCCCTTTGATTGATGCAACCTTCAAATATCAACACTCAGGCCCAGGGTGAGAAGCCACACCTCGGCATCTCCACATTTAGTTTCTTAACCTCTTGCAGCTCAGCAGAGCCCAACTACTGATTTCAGATAATGGGGCTGGTTCCTTCCTAACTGCTGCTGCAGGCGGGAGGCAAAGCTGCACCGTGCTGCCGCCGGCACCAGCGGCACGATGGGAAGCTTGGGCAGCAACTCCAAATAGCAGGAATTCTGCTGCTGGTGGATGTTTAAAAAAAGAGCCGGCCTAGATAACACCGACCGCAGACCAAGGGAGCACCCCTCACCACCGGCCTGCAGAGAGACTTGCAAGTCAGGAACGAGAGCTTGATAGCAAGCAGAGCCATGAATTAACCCAAAAGCTGCTCTGAGCCCACCCCATCGGCCACGAGCGACTGCAGCAGCGACTCCCAGTAAACGCCAGACCCATCCTATGTTAATGGGAGCTACAGGTTGAGAGGCAGCAACCTCCAGCTCTTAGTACAACCAAGGAAAGCTTTATTTTCCTCCCAGTCAACCAATGAAGACTGGTGCAAAGTAGCAGACAGCATTCACCAGCGTGGCATTAAGTCTAGCAAAGACCACGGCAGAAAATCAAGTCACCGCACTACTTCTCTCTGAACTGGGGGACCGGGGCAACTGGGAAGGGAGAAGGAAAGAAAAGCAGCATCTGCTGAGGCCAAACTCACTTCCCAGCAAGCCCAGTTTAGCTAAACTGCACCTAAACTGCTCACGAGAGGATGGGCATCCCTGCATCCCAAACCACTCGTCCTCGCTGACGCGAGCAGGGCCAGACCTCCGGGGCCAGCAGGGACCGTCCCATCAATGCGCGGCCTCCCGGCAGGAGCGATGCCAGCACCAAGCACACCCGCCCCGCGCCCCAGCAGCACAGGAGCAAAAACCATCGTTCAAATAATCCAGCCCTCGTCAGCCGGAGGGGACTCCTGGAACTGGAAGCAGCGAAGTCGTCCCTGAACCACAAGAGTTGCTGCAGCAGGCACCTTGAAGTAACCTTTGTTAAAATACCGCCTAATTAGCGCGGCGGAGTTGCACGACACCGGAGCACGAGAAGTGACCATTAAACTCCCTGACCAGAGGGAAGACCCGGGCAGCGATACGGTCCTTCTCTGCTCCCAGCCTGCTAAGACACACCTGTCAACTCTTCGCCGCCTGATGCCAGCGCTGGAGGTCCTGAGGACTCTCGCCAAGCGCCAGGATCGAATAAACCACAAGCCCATTAGCAAAACATTATGTCGTTACAGGCAACTCGGCTCGCTACCATTTGAGGCCCATTTAGTCATTTGTGGGGAACGAAGCCGTTGTATAAAACGGCTTCGGCACCCCACATGCAAACACGAGGCTCCTCACGGGCACAGGAGCTCCAGGGAGGACTCAAACACCCTGACCAGCTGCAGGGCTGGGAGCCGACACAGGAGCTGGGGCTGCCCCGTCTCAGAAGCCATCCTCTGCTTCAAAGCGGAGGTGATTTTGGCCTCCGCTACAGCCTGGCTGCCTTTCGGGCTGCCGAAGCGCCCAGGGACCACAGTGCTGTGGGTCACACCTGACCCAAGGTCAGCTCCTTCAGAGCAAGCCCGGAGAAAGTTTCCTGCTCGCCCATCAGCAGGTCTTCAGCTGCACCGAGGTGGCAACGCACCCCAAAAGCCTCACAGGAGGTTAATTAACCCCGCGGGGAAAGGACCGTGCCATAATGCTCCGGGTCCATTCAGTTATTTAATGCCGCTCCCAGGCTGGCTGCACAGACCTCGGGCAGGCTCTCCCTGCCTCCTCCACGAGGAATTTCAGTTCTGCTGCTGGAAACGCTACAGAAAGCGGCTTCTGGAGCGCAGGAGGCCCACCCCGACCGGAGCCTGGGCAGCGGGTACAGATCAGCCCTTTACCCTCCCCAGCTGGTATCAAGCAGCTCAGGTCTTCTGCTGAAACACGAGGCCGGAGCAGGGCGAGCAGCCGAGGAGCACCGGAGCTGACGGAGCAGGGGGGGTGCCTGGGGTCCCACGCCAATAGGTCCCAAGATTTGTCCCTCCAGCCTAACACAGGACCCAGCCAACCTCTGGCTGCCGACGCTTCCTCCTGCCACGGAGCACCAGGAGAGCACCGGGAGAGCAGAGCCCCCGCGGCAGCGCCCACCACCACCGAGGCCGGAGCCCAACTGCGCCGCTCATGAGCCTCAGGAAATCATTCTGCAAGATGCGGGAGGGCGAGAGGAAACGTCAGCCCCGTGGGTCCCGGCGCGGTGTCACCAGAGGCTGCTCCCGGGGCACACCGCTTCCTCGCCCGGCCGGCGCCTGCAGCATCCCGGGGCTCCAGCGGCTCCTCCAAGCCACGGGCCACCTCACTGGTCCCGGGCGTTTTTCTGCCATCCCCTTTGCAGATGAAGGGCCCAGAGCAGCGCGTTCCTCCGCCGCCTGCCTCTCCTGGGCTCCAGCTGCGCTCACCGACCCCGTGTCAAAGACAAGGCCTCAGCAGCTGCTCAGGAGAGGCCTGAGCCCAGCTCGGAGGCGATGGACGGGCACGGTGCCCGTCTGCGGGATGGCACCCGTGCCTTGCCGTCATCCTCCACCTCCAGCAAGGGGTCACAGCACCGGTGCCCCTTCTCCACACCATCATGCACCCGGCTTTCACCCCGGTGACAACCCCCGGCTGCCACCAACGCAGGCGGCTGCTCCCCACCACCCCCGCCTCCA